TAATAGCTGGTAGCAGCTCAGCTAGCACGCCCATTACACCTGCCGTCGTAGACCATGCAGTAGCCAACTGTGCTGATCTCTGGGGACTACTGCAGCCATACAGCCATCTAAATGCTGGCAGAGTTGCTTCAGGTAAGACGTGAAAGATAATGATGTCATAAAAAAAATATATCTCGTTTGGGCGTAACTTGGCTAAAACTATATTTATTTTCAGGAGCACTATCCCTATCTCGCTGGGAATCCATGAGCTCTCTTGGTTCTGGATCATCATCGGGAGTGTCCCGTCCCGAACACAGACAGCTAGGACTTAGTCACGACTCTGGTATCACTACAAATGGTTCTGGTAAGTTTGAATTCAAATGTCTTGGGTTTCGGGACATTTCTTATTTTTGGGTCGTATCTTTACTGGTTCTAACATTTGCAGGTGGTTCAGGCACTTCAGCTGGTTCTAACAACAGTTCTGGTGGTTCCACTGCGTCGGTTCTCTTAACTACGTGTGCTGGCTCAGCTTCCGAGTTACGAGCTGTACTGCGGAGAGTACACCCTCGGCTACCACCCCTGTCTCCTGCTGCTGAACGAGCTTTGTATTACTTTATGAGGTGTTCACAGGTTAGTACTAGCTCAATAAAGGATCATACCCTCTTGATCAATTTACTTTTTTTTTAATTTAGGTACTTTTTCACGAAGACAGTTTTTCTTACTTTATCGTTCTGCCAGTTGGAGCACTCTAGTGCGAGTGGTGGCAGCTGTGGTGGTGCTGGATTATGGGGTGAACGAGGTGCAGGTGCTCTGCCGCCACTAGGCGAGTGGGTGCGTGTAATCCGAGCTCACGCCACTCTTCGTCCACCCCCCGCTGTACCTGATGCTGATGATGTGATGCAGGCTGCAAGGTTATTGTTACCACATGCAGACTGCCCGCCAAGACCTATCACGTAAGAAATTTAATATTCTATTACTTTGTCTTTCGTCTCAAACAATTTGCCTTTGATCATACAGCTGCAGAAAATTCTTCCAATCCATGTGTTTTTACGTTCTGCCCATGTATTCACAGACTAGAAGAAGCCATAGAACCAGTGTGGTCACGATGTGCTCGCACTCCTGACGAACTAAACAGAGCTGCCGTCGGCGTCGCTCAACGAGCTTTGTTAAGCGGAAGACCTGAGCTCGTGGGTGGAGTACGATCATTACTGCCATCAGCCGGCATCGACGCACCAGATGCCTCAGGACTAACTGCGCTTATGAAGGCCGCGTTTGCGGGCGATGAACAAATTGTTGCCGTAAGTAGAGAAATTTGAAATGTCTCATAATAATATTTCTCAGGATCAATCTGTTACTGGTTTTCAAAAAAAATTAAATGATGAATGTTCTGAATATTTGCTTGCAGATGCTACTTGAAGCGGGTGCAGATCCTAACATCGAAACAGGTGGCGCGTGTGCTGCCCACTGCGCGCTGCCACTGTCGCCGCGCTCACCATCCACGCAACAGACTGCCCCCGCATACACCCCACCAACTGCAGGTTAATAAACAGATTTTTTTGGGTTATTAACCCCTGCACCAACCGTTTAGCATATCACCCAAACTTTTTTATTCTCAGAAGGCGTAGACAAAGTAGTACATAATTAGTTATTAAACTTAATACCCCTTAGTTATATAGTTATTATTTAGTTGCACAATGATGCAAGTACTACTGCTGCTCGTGTCGACTAGGTCACTTGACCAACGGAATCCACAGTCAATAATTACTTCCACAATATTAATACTTCGTATGTATTTTTTTCAGGTTGGACTGCGTTGGTGTACGCGTGTAGTGGTGGAGGCGGTGGCGCTGTGGAGTGCGCTCGTCGCCTGCTGGCTGCTGGCGCCCGAGTGGACGGAGCTCCTGCAAGAGGAGATGATGTTTGCACTCTCACACCCTTACAGGTATGTCTTCTTCAAAAGGTATTTTTATCAGAGCATTATAGGTACAGTTTCTATATGAATCCCTGTGATATTCTCAGGTAGCATGTGGTGTCGGCAACTTGGAGCTAGTGCAACTCCTACTATCACATGGTGCAGATCCGTTCCTCTCTACACAACTGAACGATGCTCTGTGCTACTCTCCAGCTGCACAGTACGGCTGTTATAGGTAGGTGGAAGCCATAGATACCTATAGTTGAAGCCGACAGTAAGCGATTTGACAAACCTGATGACTTAGATGAAAAAGTCTATGTTTATAGTAAAACTGCTTCATCTAAGTACGATTGTAGTGTCTATTTTGTTCTGTAAGTAGTTCTTGTATCTGTAGTGCGGTAGCAGTATGTTGTGCGCACGGACGTCGGGCCTGTTTACGCGCCGCAGTGCGTGGGGGAGCTCGGGCGGCGCAGGCTGTGCTGTCTCTGGAAGAAGTTTTGGCTGAGGGCTCTGCTGCGCCGCCACCACGTCAGCCCACCTTCACGAAGCAACAACAACGTGCCCTACATGATGCTATGTACTGTGCTGCTGAAACTGATCACTTAGGTAAGGCTACACAACACCTGTTTAACTGTTTAATTTTCAAATTCGAAAAACGAGTAATTAGGGTGAACATGAAGTTAATCCATGTAGCCAAGAGTTGTATCGCCAGCACGTTATTCCGATTACCTTTCATACATTTTTGTTTACTAGATATAACGCTGGAACTACATGCGCTGGGCGTGCCATGGTCACTGCACGCGTGGACATTATCCCTCGCAGCCGCTGCTGATGCAGCGCTAGATAGTGTCATAGACCAACTGCTACAAGACTTTCTTCAGGTAACATTTGCTAAGTTAAATATTCATTTAAGAAAACACGTAAGAAATTAGTGTAAGCATTGTTACCTATTAAGTGATTGGTATTTATTATAGGTGTGTCCGTCAGATGATAGTCACTACAGTAAACAGTTTATTTACGAGTGCCTCCCCCTGCTGTTCAATATTCTTCGGTACAGCAAGGTAATGTGACTTTTTATTGGATCAGATAAATTAATTTATTGTAACAATATCAAAATTAACTAAACGCTTTTATGTTCAGAAGGAAGGCACAGTCTTACTACTAGCTGACATTCTGTGTGCGTGTTACGGACGAGAGCCTGTGCCAGGCGTAGCACAGCCGCCACCTCCAGTAGCACCCACACCAGCTAGAGTTGACCCTTCGTACGTCAACAACCCATCATTAGCTGACGTCACTTTTAGGTACGCACTTTCACATTTTGATGAGTTTCAACTTGTTGATATCTACATGACATATTATATGCTAATAAAAATTACCTTCTTTTATAGGGTTGAAGGGCGATTATTCTACGGTCACAAAATAGTTCTCGTCTCCGAGTCCCCGCGCTTGCGAGCTATGCTAGCGCCACCAAGAACATCAAATGAAGCCATTCCAGTCGCCAACACCGCGCCTCCTCTCGTGCAGATTAATGACATCCGATATCATATATTTGAGGTACAATTCCCATGCCTATAATTTCTCCATATTCTTCAAGGTTATTTGTAAGTATAATCTGGATATCAAGTATCTAATGCGGTTTCTTTACTTTGTTACAGCAAGTTATGAAATACCTGTACTCAGGCGGATGCTCAGGACTAGACATCCCTGAGACCGACGTGCTTGAAGTGCTGGCTGCTGCATCTTTCTTCCAGCTTTTACCGCTACAGAGGCACTGTGAGGCCAGGGCAGCGAAATCAGTGGACCTGCATAATCTTGTCTCTGTTTATATACATGCTAAGGTAGGATAACAATTGTCTATGCTCATTTCGACGGGCGTCTTGCACTGAGGATATTTTACTAAATACCTTTTATAAGTTAAAAAAATAATAAATAAGTACTTACGTAATTTTTGTTTTACAGGTTTACGGTGCTACTCAACTACTGGAATACTGCCAAGGGTTCCTGCTCCAAAACATGGTCGCACTTCTCACGTACGACGACTCCGTTAAACGTTTGCTCTTTGGGAAACGGCTACCGGGACATAACGTTCTTGGTGCTTTACTTGTAACATTGCAAAAAAGAATCGAAGCAAGAAAAAATCAGACGAAAAATAGATAACTAATAAAAAAAATTCAAAAATTGTTTGATAAAAAAATATTATCTTGATAAAAACATAATTTAATAGTAATTAAAGAGTTGTTGCTTCTTTACTTTATTTTAATAGGGCGACTGACTCTCTTTATTATTTTTTTGGATTTATTTAAAAAATGTTTTCCCAAATGTTTTCATAAGGCTTTAATTTTGTCATGCTGAAATACTTTTATGTAACGAAGTTTGATAATACATATTTTATTTTATAATAATGTAAGTACTAAATTAACTTTTATGTAGATAAGTAAGTAGAATAACAATTACAATTGAAATATAAATATTTTTGTAATAAAATATATTTTTGTCGTCATTTTGTAATTCTTTCGATATGTTTATCTATGAAACAGTTCATGACTGGAAAGTATTATAACATTGTAATGTAATTATTGTTGAAATAAAGCTTTGTGTTGTAGATGTGTTCATTATTATTTTTGGTGACTAACAGTACCTACCTTTTATTAAAGAAAACGACACTTACACTTAACTCTCTGTTAAGTTTTGTAAGGGAAATTTAAGTAATATAATTAATTTATTGGAACAATAAGAAACGCAAAATTCTTGGACTTGGCAAAGTGAGATAAATCAGATAAACCTATTCAGTAACAAAAACATATTTTAATTTGTTGATAAGACGACATATATTTAATACATGAAAAATCAGTTAATGAAAAATAAACAGAATCAACCTAAATTTCATTTTAAGTAAAAACACTATGTTGAGATCTGAAGTCATAACGATAATGTAGAATTTCATACAAAGTACAGCGTATGTTTTAGGTACAGCGCCATCTAGTGGCATTTTCCTAGTTTAGTTTTTGATCATTTCTAAACGTAAAGAATTTGGAAAATCGTTAACGTCAAATAAAGTAGTTGACGCTTTTTCCTTATTCCTTTCTTTGCTTTAGTCTTGTGTTAATTTATTTAATGGCAACATTTTGAACTGTCAATAATAATGTCTATGGCGTACGCGTGGCTGGATGACAGAACAGTTGCGAATAAAAAATTGTCGCATTGCTTATGGTATAGAGAGCAGTCGTGATTTGTGATGTGAATGTAATTTACATTACGATTTTGCGAATTTTTATCTTGTGAATATAGTCATAGTGGAATTTTGTTGTGCATTGTAATGTCGTGACAGTGAAATAAAATGCAGTTCTACAAAGAGAGAATACTCAATGCTGCCCAGTTAAAAAGACTAAGTGAACACAAATATTCTTGTACGAGTGCCAGTATATTGGATGCATGGCTCCAGCCGTGGTGGTGCTGGCTAGTATCTAAAACGCCGCTATGGCTTGCGCCGAATCTCATCACAATATTAGGTTTAATAGTAAATGTAGTCACCACACTTATACTAGTTTGGTAAGTACATTGAAGGTTATATCAATACATAGGAACTGTGTCACAGATCTCGTCCGACCGTAACGACTTTCATTTTCTGCCTGTACTAAGACGTTCTAACGGTGTGTTGTATTAGCCCTACGTAGATGTAGTGTCTTGATTTAGGAAGTAGTGGAATTTTCATTCAGTAATACGGTACATTAGCGCGTGTTTACATATTGTAGCGCTCGAAGAGAGGGGCATGCGATTGGTCGAATATTGTCGCGCCACTGTATGTTTCGATAAGATAGCCGGAATTACATTAATATAGTTGTCTCCCAGTTATCATGAGCTCAAACAATAACAAATAGGGACAGCCTTTGATTTCTGTCTGGATACTGTGAGGCTGGGCACTCTACTTGACACATAACCTTTCTAAATGCACTCTCTGTATTATGATGATAGCAGTATATCTCTGTGTCATCATTAATAATGTAATATGTTGATGGATGTAGGGTTAGATTTGGAAAAAAAAATCCTATTAGACATTTAGGAACTCTAGTTAATTCTCCTTGTAATCTCTGTAACACATGAGACTTTAAATTTATCCCATTATCTGTCAGCATGACAATAAATTTTGAAGGACAGTTTATTTAGGATGATAAGTTGTAATATTATCAATTTTGTTGGTTAATGTCAAAACCTAACTGATTCCAGATTAGATAAGGAACCTAACTGAAGTTTTAATCAAGAAATAAAATGTAATAACCATGTCTCCATTGCATCAGCAGATATTTTTTTATATAATTTTGATAATTTGTATAATTTTACTGAGAGATAACAATACCATGTATTAAGTATTTTATATTTCCTTATTTTAAGATACTTATATTAATAATATTGTTTAAACTTGTACTGCAAGATATTAATTATGTTGGAGTTTACTTCCTATGTACTTCTTGAAAATTTATAATTTTGTTTTAATTCTGCAAAATATATTGTGGTTTAATAAAAAAAAAACACTCAGTTTAGGCAAGTTGATTCATATTTTATACATATTCTTAAAGAAGTTAGCAAAATATTTTCACAGAAAATAAAGTCAGATTACTTGTATAACTATGGTAATTAATGAAACACATGTGTAAATGTAGGTAGATAGGTATGTTAATTTACTTAATTTGAATTAACTAGGAATTTGAATACTGGGCCAATGGCTCGGAAGGCTTTAAATCTTATTTAAAAATATTTTGTTTTTATTTAGTACAACTAGGCTACTGGGTACTACAAAATAGTTTTTATTATAGATAATATTTTTATATATAAATTAAAAAAAAATAGATTTTCTTGGATAGTAGTTGCACTCACAACCAATCCATTAACTGTTCAGTATGACAATTTATATAAAATAAAGACCTACCAATATTTAATACTCATCCCCAAAAGAAACTATTATAAACTAGTTTCTCTCGCGCGGTTTCACCCGCTGCTCGGCTCCATTTAATTGCAGCATGATGTTTTATAGCCATATTCAGTGAAATAATTTTGGCAATCCGACCAGTGGTTCCAAAGATTACCCCCTACATATAAACTTACAAATTTTACCTCTATAATATTAGTATAGATGTTATTGATAGATCAATTCAAAATGCCAACAGTGATTTATTACAGAAATAATTATTACTTGATTTTATCTTGACATTTTTATTCAGTGGCTACTGTATGATACATGCTGTAGGTACAATTAATTTTTATTTATTTAGTCTTTCAATATCCAATTTCTTTTATAATGTTTATCATGTTTTTCATCCAACCTCGTAAAATATAATTCAAGATCCCCTAATTAGCTGACTGTGAAACTGTGCTGATATTCTGCACAATAATAAGTGAATAGATCTGCACTCTCTGTTCTCTCAGAGTGGTTAGTCACATGAGGATTAGGTTTATGGGTTTTCTATGACACATTGATCAATGTTACTGATACCTTCGTCAATTTTTGTTTGGTTTAGATAGTGGCCAATAAACATGCGGCTTCTTTTCTGAAATGAGAACTCCAAAAAAAATCTGATTTCTTTTTATAATTCGCTTTTCTAAAATCAGCATTCGAAAAACGAAAATCCCAAATTTATAATTTATTATTCAAACCACCAAGTCGAAGTCAGTCTCCTAAAAAATTGCTCATAAGGAGTTAGTTTGTTTGATTTACCAATTAAGTTGTCAATATGATGAATTTCTTTAACAAAAATATATGTAATATAAATCCAAGAGTACATTTGGTCAACTCAATAGGTCAGAATTCAATCCTAGTGATTCACACCTGCAACATCCTGTACCTATATAGTTGGAGAGTTGCATAAGTGGCACTTACATGTGTTATGGTTCACTTAGCTCGTCATGGTTGCGTGCGTACCTTTGCAATAACTAAGTAATCAAAGCAATCTGTTGATAGGATTGACAATACATATACATAATGTTGACTATAAATACCAAGCTAACTTAACTGTGACCTATTACACCTTCGCGATAGGGCAACGTAGTGACCTGTAACACACCTACGCACCGAACGCAATGACCGCGGTAATCCAGATACATGTAAATTATTCAGGCAGATCGTGATTGCCATGATTAAGTTCAGTGTTTCAAAACAAATAAGTCTTCTGATATTGTTGGCTACTAATCATTGTATGGTTGGGACAGTGGCTGGATAAGCGTCTATTGCACGTCTGGCAGGTTCGATTCCCGCTCGAATGGATTCTGTGTGCAACACAAATTGTGTCGATTGTCCCACGCCAAATCACTGGAATAATTCTGTTTGGAAAACATTTGAAATGATTTTTCCTGTTAAAAGTTCAAAATCTGTTAAAGAAATTGGCCTGGCTGGTTTTGCATGCCTATTGTAATGTTGCAGGTTCAGTCCAGACGCGAGGCAGGATCCTCCGCGATGGGCATGCGCACTATGCGCGCTAGGAGTTTTCATCTACCAGAGCCTGGACGCCATCGATGGCAAGCAGGCTCGACGCACCGGCAGCCAGTCACCGCTGGGCGAGCTCTTTGACCACGGCTGTGACAGCATATCAACCGTGTTTATAGCGCTGGGCGCCTGCATAGCTGTCAAACTAGGAGAGTACCCAACATGGATGTTCTTCCAGGTAAGTTGTGACATAAAGCAAAACGTTCACTAAGTAGCTACATATTACTTTAATTAGCTATGGCATTGTTTAGTTTAGATAGTAAATGTACAGTGCAATAAAATTCTTAGTTTGGATAAAGCTAAACCTCAAAGTTTTATTATTATAAGACCTGGCGGGAGTGCTTTTTATAGTTATACCCAGGGTTACATAAAATTTCTTAGTCGTGTGTTTCCCATAATGTTTTACATAGGGATAGGTTAAAGTAAAATCTACAGAAACGAATCATATAGAATGAAGAATCCACGAATGTAATATCATCTCGTTACGCGTTGAGGTTGTTACACGGAACCGACGATACTGCGTCGTTACCCACTCCTTCGGAGAACGCATGGTACATGATTGACTACACGAACAAACATCTTTAATGGCGGACATAAGTAGGTTGAGTCATTACTTGTGTCCAATTAAATCAGTACCTTTAAGGAGCGTCAAATAGAATCATGGCTCCGACTATAAAAATGCACTATATTAGTACAAGGTCCAGCACAATAAACTCATAAAGTTATTAGCAGATTAATGGGATCTTGATTAAATAGTCCCACCCATCTCGATGATGACGAAGGGAATTATATCGTACCATAGCAGCTCAGCTCGCTATCGTTATTATTAGTGCGGTATTCGTAATCTTCATAATTATTATTAACCTGCGATACGTCACGTTACCAATTAGTGTTTATTAAAACGTAATTTAGATAAGTGTCGTACTTTGCAATTAATTTACTTGTCAATGTCACTTGAAATCCCTGCGGTATGTGTTCTGTGGAATATGTCCCTGCAGTGACTATTGTCTCCGAGTTTTCCACATTAGTGTCTGCATTCTAATGCAATTAGTGGCGAGGTACCACGCCGCAGAGAGACGTGTCTCGAAAGAGCTCGATAACACTGAAAATTACTTAAAGGTCGTCGATTCAATTACTAAGTAAATGCGAACGAATCTGTTTACATTGTTTATTTGATTGACCATTACATAACTAATTCCTTATACTTGTACTAAATGGTAGATTTTTGTATCGCAGTTTGTGATAATTAACTTATTTTAATACTAGGCCTCGGCAATTTATCAAGCTCAGATGCGCAGAATTCAGAGTTTGTTTTCCGCATGAAATACTCGATTGATAAGCTATTCAATCTATTTGATAACGCAGTTTGTATATGTTTTATGGGTGAAGTATTGAGAAATATTACGAATATGTGAAAGAAATAAAACATACGTTTAGGAGTTTAAACGCCAATAAAAATATTTAATGCGAAAACGAAAACTGTAGGTATTTACCCTTAACGTTTTGTTTCTCCAAACATTGATACAGATGCGGGATTATTTATTTCTCCGTCTATCTGTTTCCGGGTGTATGACGCAAAAACAACTGTACACATTGTAATAAAAGTTGGCATAGTGAAAGTTTACATTACAGAGCACTTGGCCTTATTTCGAGTAACTGAAAATATTGTAAGTGAACGAGGCCAGCCAATAAAACCAAGTGTTGGCAAAAATGCCCGAGAAAGTCTCATCAGTGTACCAAAATAGGAAAATCTGTTAATGATTTTTTATTGGCTTGCTTATAAATGAATGCTGAATTGCTAGGGATCAGAGTACTGGTCTATTCTCATAGAGTTAAACATAGCCTTTTTAGGAATCAAATCTCCGTCATGTCGAATTCGTCTTCTATAGGTACTTCATATATCTCTCTAGATTTGCGTGTCTTGATTCGTGTACCAAATTGCACCCTTTGTAGTCATTTCGCGGGTTTCAGCTGTAATCGTGAATGAACCTAGTCGCTACGTATGTCACCCCAAACAGTGACGTAATGCCATAATGTACTTTTCCGTATTTGCGACATGACCCTCATTATTTAAATATTCTTATTTGGGAGTGTTGCCAAACTATTACGCTGGCTACCACCAAACGCTGGAAACTGGCCAATTTGTACGAAATAACGAAACATTATTTTAAGTTTTACCTAAAATTGACCGAGATTACGCATATCGATTTTGCGTAGTCTTTGTAGATAGAATGATTAACAGCTATTCAACTAAAAGGTAAAATTGGCCGTAACAGCTGGTAACCCACTGACCGACTCGCACAAATTATTTAGCCGCGAACGTTTGACGAGATACTCGTGATTAATTCTAGGGCAAGTTGCGAAATATGCGAGTTTTCACCAAGTTTATTCCTTGTAATTATACCAAACATGTGTATGATTAGCTAATAGTGATGCCCACGAATTTTAAGCTAAAAATGATACATCTTTGAAATCACCAATCCGCCTTTAGCAAGATTGGTGATTAATGCTTAAACTTAGCTTTGGCTTAGCTCAGCAGTAAGCAATTATAGGCTTATTATTATGATGATGAATAACTAGTTTAAGTACTTAGGTCGTATTGTATAATGTTTTTTGCTTATTATCATTAGCTTACCAAATCACAGTGTAAAAAGTATAGATTACAGCTCCTCTATGACCTAAAAGTTGACATAACGTACCTCATTGAAAAGCGGCATAAGACATTACTGTTTTTGTTTCACCATTTTCTACAGATTCGCCACAATTTCTAAGAAATCTAGTCTAGTTCGTAACTCTATCTTTTACTGTGAATTAATGAATGAAATCGATTTGATTCAGTTAAACAAAGTAGTATAAGAAAATTTCCTAAATTTAGATATGACAGTGGATACCTGGGTCTGACGTAAGAAGCCTAATCACATCAACATATTCCTGAACGTTTATCATGATGTTTCAGTGTTTCTGCGCGATGACTCTGTTCTACTGCGCTCACTGGCAAGCCTACGTGACTGGCACGCTCAAGATGGGGCGGATAGACGTCACAGAGGCACAGTACTCCATCATTGCCATCCACCTCGTGTCAGCCACACTTGGCCCCAGCTTCTGGGCCACTCAGGTAACGTAGTCCACCCATACTGCACTGCGTATTCTTAAACCTTACGATTCTCAAGTTGCCACTACAAAATGACTTGGTAACAAATAAAAGTAAGACACAATACAGACATGAACTTTGTTTATAGGAGTTTTCTTTGAATGTAGTGTCGTTGCAAACACTCGGTGCCTTCTCCGACCACATGAAGTCGTTATGTTCAAACAGATTACGTTCGCAGACGTCAATAAACAGCCCCAACAAAAACATAACTGCAAGTCATTTTGTACGGCGACCGCGTTTTATGATAGATTCACAGAATATCTTAATATTGTATTAGCTGAGTGTTGTCCAATGTTCAGTTATCTAACGTTTGAATAACACAGCACTTGTAATACAAGTTGTTTGACATTATACTAATGTTGTCTCACAAATATTTCATGTAAACACAAAAGAACAGCTCGGATTATTTGTATAATGCAATGCATTAGTAAATGTTTAACAGAGAATTGGTTCCACAAATATAAAAGTAAAACTAATTGGAAATAAATGAGTGTAAGCGTGGTTCTTTGGTGTTGCATGGATATAATTTGTTATTCAAATAACTAAGTACTCATTTACCTACTAAATAAAGACAAGCCACCAGCTGTTAGGCGTCGTTTAAAAATACCCACATGACCGCTATAGTCGTGATCTGTCAGTGTTCCACCGTCATTATCAGGTTACTACTGACTATACCTGAGAGCCTTGTTGTCCAGTCAATCATTGCACAATGTGGACGTCGTTCCGCCAACTAGGACCGCTCTAACTCCTCGTATCACTAATATTTGCAAGTCATTATAAAATTATCCAGTACCTTACAAGTTTATGCTTTTTGTGCATCGATTTTTTACCGGTTTTAGTAACATTGCATTGTCGGTATCTATTTGGCGGAAGTGAGTGGATGTTAGGCACATTGTGTCGTCGGGCACTAGCACTCGACAAGTAACGCACGTGTGCACTAGGTGGGCGGCGGGCTCGAGGTCCGCTACTCGCTGGCGCTGGTCGCCGTGGGGGGCGCATTCCTCACGGTAGGAGCGCTGCTGGCCTCCATCGTCACAGGCGGAGTGGGCAAGAACGGCTCCACCGTCGCTGTGAGACATTTCTTTAGTCCCAACTACAATCATCCACTGTGGGAGACCAAGCTGTAGATGTTCCTTACTTAACAAGTTGGCAGAATGTTTATGTCACTTGTTTCGATATTTAACTCGCCCTTGTAATCATTACAAATGTTAAAGCCCAAAATCTTAGTACTTAATTTAGTTTTTCCTATACCTTTATGTCTCATAAATGTAAAAATGATACATTCATATTTAAATTTGGAAAGTCTATGACCTGACTTTCTAATTGAGCACAGATAAAAAAATAACTCCAAAAATGAAAAAAGAACGTTCTATAATGTCGCCATTTAGTAATGCTGGTTCTCCCACCGTGGCACTGATTGTGTTATAGATTGGGTATCTAAATTGTATCGTACTGTAAGCATTGTCTGTTGACCGCAGAACCTAGCGTGGTTAGTAGTCAGCTTCAGATTGGCAGCAGTTACACGGCACTCGCACGCGGCCGCTACACCTGCATTACTTGAACATTATATTTGCTTGTAACGTTTCAGTCAAAACTGTAAAAAACATATTAAATAAACATTTCTTAGATGAGTTTCAAATTGCTCAAGATTAAGCAAATTACTCCTTTTTGGGTAGTCTTACAAACATTAGCGGACACTTTAAAGTTATTACAAATACCAATAAAACCATTTGAACCGTACAAACGTCACAAGCAACTAAGTAATGAAGGTAGAGCCCCGCGTGTGTAAGAGCCAAACATTAGCTTTGTTCTGTTAAACTAAGACACTTTTGGTTCCATCGCTTATTATCATGTGGGTTTTTTTAATAGCATGAATCTAATTGAATGTAAGTAGACTATGCTCCCTGTTGCGGCCTCGGAGTACCACGTAGCCCTCTACCTGTATAGACTGTACCCTGCATAAGTAAACAGGACTTTGTAACATAGCACTGTCTCTTCATGGAGCATGATCTATTATGATTTATTTAAAGATTGTCCTTATTTCCGTGTAGGATTTGTTAGTCACACGTTTACGTAAGGCTTGCCTCACTCGTGCGGTTAGACCGATGGTGTAGTTGCGGTGTCGTCTAGATTGTAGACTTGATCCAGTTGTAGTCTTTGTGTGAATGTCCGCCGCCTGCCGCACGATCGCTCTACTTGTATCTCAGTACCTACGAAAGTACAATAGAACAGTGACTATATGTATGAGAGATGCGCCGCTCGTGTGTGGGGAAGCCTTCATAGTTAATTTACTATGAGTACTGTGGCTGGTGCGTCTCCCCTTTTATTTTATTTCCTTTGTTGTGGGTCTTCACTCATTTGAAGGATTCATGCAGTGTACATAATGCACCGTGGTTGTGTCGAGGAGTGTGTGTGTAGTGCGACGTGTAACGGCCCCCTCATGCCGCAGATCCCCCCGCTGGGCGTGCCGCTGAGCCTGCAGGTTACCTCGATGTGCTTCGCCGCACAGTTTTACTTTGCCACCAACTTTTTTTCCACATTCCGCGTTAGGGGATGTGGCAAAAACGGATCGACCGTCGCTGTAAGACTGCTAATGTTTACTTGAACATCCGTGGGACGTCGGTCGAATGCGACGATTCAGTGCCTTAATACAATACTTTTGCCAAACTGACCTTGACCTGGTGACTGACCAGCGGAGTACAAAGTATGTCTCTGTGGCGTCACAAGAAACTGTACGACTGAATCGTCACATTTCGTGTTCTTAACAAGCTGCATGGAATATAATCATGTAAATAACAGGCGACCATTAATGTATATTAATATATATATACCTTATATTGGTTTACAACATTATGAGGATTTGTTTCCACCCGCACTGATTAACAATAGCTTTCATAATGTCATAATACAAAAAAAAACTAGAAACATTTCTATTTCTCAATAAATATTACAAGAATAGTGTAAACTTTATTCAATATTGTTTGTTCATCTCTACTTTGTGTGAGCTATAAGTATACTGTCATATTCTTATTTTTACAATGTTTCTTTGAATCTATGTATACGTATATTGATCGACATGATTATATTGTAATCGCCAGGAAATTTAATCCTTTTAAGTTATATTTAGTACATGAAGGTGTTAGTATTAACTTAGTTAATTTTCTATCTTATTATTTTTATATCAAGGTGGTTTTGCACATCACAATTATATTACTTTGGCACGGGTGTTTGATGGTGTAAGATTTACTACACAGGCCAAGGTGTCGCAGGGTATTTGCACAAGTTTTACTATATTATACTCAGACTAATTTTATTATACTTTCTGTGGTGGCACACAGTTCCAATTTTTGGTATAACATTATCACACAATCTCCTACCAAAGGTTTAATTATACACTCCTATATTCCAATAGAGAACAGTGTATTTGTGTTAGCTGTTACAATGGATCGCAGGATCATGTAACCACATCGCAGGGAGCCTGGCAGGCCCCAGTAACCCACACATCCACACAGAGCTATATAACACGACATAAATGAGTGAAGACAGCACATGCCGTTCAGTCGGAGTCTGAGCCGTCCGTGTAATGATATTAATGGCATGTATGTGTTTCTGTTTCCGCGCGCCGCCGCCGCGGGACCTAACCGCATGCCGTCATCACGTGAACATCATCACCACCATCGCATATCACGGTCTAACACTACAGTTACCGATAAACATCAGCTTGAATCTGATATCCAACTACGCAGTCGTGTTGTTCACCACGTACCTAGTCGTCGGTTACGTTACCGTCATTATGAAGGGTGGCGTGGGGAAAAACGGCTCCACCGTCGCAGTAAGACTTTTTCAATTAGCATTGTGCCGTATGAATAACACTTAACAGAGTAAGCGCTGCACCGAGTGTACTAACGTGCCACCGCGCGACTCACGACGCTCGATGACCGACTGACCACTAGTGTTGCCGTCCTGCGGCCGTCTGTAGTGTTGTGCTGTGTCTCATAGTGCACCGCAGTCATTGCATGCCCCGTCCGGCTTCTTACTAACCGCCGCTTTATTTTGTTGCTTGCTTAATGTTGCACCTACTTTAACTACTTACCTATTAGAGCTTTGATTAAACTGATTTTTTATAACTTTAATGCATCCATTGAAATTATTAGATTTGTTTTGTTTAATGTGAATGCCTCTTGAATGTGTTTGCACTAAGTTGGTGAAGCACTGTGCCGCTCGTGCCTCCCTCCGAAGGCCGTGGTACACCCAGTTGGTTTCCGCAGGGTACTAGCATCCTGTCGCCGGTGATCCCGTTCTCCCTGGTGGTGGTGCCGGCGTTCATCATCTTCCAGAAGAGTGAGTCCAACGTGTACCAGCACCACCCGTCTCTCTACATCATTGCCTTCGGTATGGTGGCCGCTAAGGTCACCAACAGACTTGTGGTGAGTACTCACATTTTTGTTATTAGGCGATGTGTGAGTTATTGAAATTTTATGCATCTTTTTTTAAAAATATTGTGCCATGATTGTGTGATCAAGCAAGATGACGTGTGATTTCAATTTTAATATTAAAATTATTTTTGTCACACATTTGCCCCTTTCTTTATTCCAAGTCTCAAGGGACGTGACATTCGATGATTTTTAAGGAACTTCAGATATCCATCAGTTAAATCTGGAGCTATTGTAGTGTGTAAACATTCGCATCATCATTACACTTGGTTACAATAACGGTTGACAATGTGTTTGCAGGTGGCCCACATGACAAAGAGTGAGATGGACTACTACGACTGGTCGCTGCTGGGCCCCGCCATGCTGTTCCTTAACCAGTACTTCAACCACGCGCTGCCCGAGTACTACGTGCTGTGGCTGTGCACGGTGAGTTTTATATTATATTGAAGATTGGAATGCTATAAATATGTGTGTTAAATAAGGGTGTTTTTATGTGCAGAAAATGGTAATCTGATATTGTAGTAGAACTTTGCAGTACTCAGGGAGCTAAGTATTATTTGTGTGTGTGTGCAGATCTGGGTGTGCGTGGACTTGGTGCGGTACTGCGGACAGATCTGCCTGGAGATCTGCGCGCATCTGCGCATCCAGCTGTTCCGCATCACGGCCGCGGCGGCCGCGCCCCCCGCCGCCAACGGTACGCGCCGCCTCAAGCGGGGGCACTCCCAGCACGCGCACCACGCCTAGCCCCGCCCCCACGCTCCTCGCCTCGCCCGGGCCCCGGCCTCCCTCGAGCGGGCCCCGGCTACCCTCGAGTGGGCCCCGGCCCTATCTTTCCTCGTGCGGGCCTCTGTTTTCTATCTTGCATAAAGTTTGCTTTGAACGCTGCTGTCACGTGTTCTAGTGAGGTCATATTAAGTTATTTTATTTGTAGATAAATCATTAGTCGTCGAGAGCAATCAATGTTGTATAAAATACAACATTTCAAAAGTTAGTGCAGTGAACTTTCGTTTTTAAAATTTCGTTGTACAATGTCGGCAGGCAGCGTTCAAAGCTAACAACGTTTTACTGTTTTGTTGTTAGTGAAGGCTCGGTTTGTGTTATTTGGTTAAGGTGGTGTTTCGACACCGTCACTGTTACAAGTCTACTCAGCAGTACACGCTATGGTTGTCCAGATGATACAAATGTCTTAAACTGAAACAATAGGTGTACTCGACATACATAAGTGACACGTTGACAAACTGTATTACTTGTGTGACAAGATAGCGTCCAATAGGAACTTTACGTAGGATACAAGATGGCGGCGGCCGCGACCGCGCGCTCTCGAATAAAATCATTGCTCTGACGTCATTAGTGTCGATAGTTGTAATACTTGTACTTCCTTCTTCAAAGCTATTCTAGTATTGGTTCTACCTGTAGTGCATCTACGCGATTGTAATGTCCGACATACATAGCTTCATGTCGACATAATATGCTTAGAGAATAAGGTAAATTGAAACAATAGTTGTGCAAGATGAACCAATAGAAAGTAATTCTACATAATAATATATATTTTATTCGTATACACGTTCAGTAAGACAGTTGTGCCGCATTTTCTATTCGACGTTTATAGTAGGGGATAGGTAACATTGTTGCACCGGTCTTATAGCGCGTGTCTAACCCGGGACGGGGTAGGCAGTGCATGTCAAATGTACTAACACATGGTAGTTAATGGTGCTGGGTCATAGCAGTAACAATACAGACTTGGTGATGGGGCGAGAATTCATAATATACACTTTGAGAATGCTCTAGATGTATAGAAAATACCAAATATGCTTATCCATTCGGTTCTGAGAAGTTAAAATGAACTCTACAGCGTCCTTTCTATAAGAATTATTTTTGTAAATCAATATGTTCTCGACGCTCCCCGTCACTGGTCATAAATTGTGCATCATTGTTGTAGATGAGGCGCGACTATCGGATAAAAGTTATCTCATACACATAGGAAGCTGTGACTAGTAAGTTATGGACGTGCCGACCTCACAACACACCTACAACATTATACCTACATGGCAAACGCGATATTGTTGATCATTATATTTTTAACCTTTTCGAATTAAACATAAAGCTCAAAATCAAAATTGTTCTTGAATTTACGCAAACTTATCCATTAAAATGTGCTAATAAAGTTCAATATTGTGTGACAGTATTATGGTGTGTTAAAATTATATTTTGGTGAACGTCGCGATTGTCAGTAGACATTAGTCTGAGTTGATACTACTCTGCTAATTATACAAGAACACATAAACAAACACTAGACACAAAATATTCGCACTTACATGACATTTGTTTCAATGTATGTTTGTAGATCGACGTTGAATTCTGTTAAAATGGACACCGAAACAGGTCCGTTGTAAATAATTCATTGATTTATTTATTTTTAATTTATCGTTCGTTAGAAATCTGTTTCGATCGTCTTCGATTGACGTTTACACACGTCATTCAGGCCAACAAGTGCATATCTGAATTAATTAAAACGTTTAACGGAATACAACCTTGAGTAAATGTGGCTAGTTATTTAAATTGCTAGTTGTAGGTTAGGTAGACGTCAGCGAGACCATACAGTACCATAATATTGGAGATTATTTATGTAAATAGCTGATATATTGGAAATTTCCACCATGTTCATGTAGAGAATTATAGTCAAACTAATATTCGTATATTTTTATTATTATATTTTCGTTCTGTTGATTCACATTTGAGTTTTAGTAGTGAGTTGTCGAACGTAGCGTTCATAGAAAATGTCAGATTCTTGTTAGAGAAATTAGAAAAAAAATACTAATAAATTTATACTCTGTCCTGTTGATTGATACCTAAAATTGTTTAGTTGTTAAAAAGATGGCGCATTACTATGCTACATTTATATTACTCACAAAAATAAACAATAGGTTCCTAGAAATGTTTAGTGAATAATATTGTAAAATGTTAACATGACTGTTGCGCGATGAAGGCAATATAATACATTGACGTAGGTGATTCTGTCTTTCCATTTGTGTAGAATATTAGGTGTTGTGATAGAAACTTCTCAGTGCTTGTCGAGAGAAAACAAACACAATTCATTTTGTATAAAAACCGGTAGTAACTCGAGTGTGCTCAAAGCATCTTAACTAAGAACAAAATTGTACAAAATTCCGTCAGTCCTCTCGACCTGCACTGACCCAAATGTATTAGATAATATAGAAAGTGTTTAAAATAATAATGCTCTACTAATACTTTACTATATTCTTCATTTAAAGAAAGCTTCTACTTACTGTTCAACCGATTTTAACTTTCATTTCGTAGGCTTAAAGATGGCATTAGGAGCAACCAAAACCAGTTCATAAAAGTGAAAATCGGCTGAACGGATGATAAAAAAGGTTTTCATAAATATCTTATGTCATTTTAAACGGAGTATGACTTCGATCCATAGAGTCGCTACTGTCACTGTCATCTAACAAAGATGGCCGCCGGTGATGGATGACTAACTACTCTATCTCGTAGTTCTTTACATAATTCTCTTCTTCCTATGCGCTATCTATATATTATATGTACTATGTATGAAGTAATGACGCTTGCAACTGCTAGACATACGCAATGATTACTGTCTCCTCATCTAGTCGGTTAAAATTAAATTTAAAATAGTTTTGCACATAATTGGAGCTCAAGTGTTAAGAGTAGCTGCGCCTCCATAGCGCTAAGTGTGTAAATACGTGTTAATTATTGATGTTACACAAGACGCAAGCCCGCTGTATCATATACTGTTAAATGTATTTTTTATGTGAAATATAACAAATGTACATTTTCATTAAACTTGTTTTATTATACTCAGAGTATATTTGACAGCTTGTCTAGTATACAATATTCTTTTACGAATAATTTGTTTCGTTACATGAGATTTTATTTTCAATCTTCCCCAAGTTATGCCCCCTAAGGTACGCTACTCGCTACTTGTACGGACGCAAAGGTCAGTTGAGCTTGTGTTGTTCAAATATAAACCGTGTTCCAATAGAAATTTGTGTTATACTAGTGTTTTAGGGTTTGCTTCATTTTATTTTATATATTGCTTTTTATTTCTTGTTAACATTATCAAGCTTTTTATCGTAGTTACTAACTGTTTTATGTTCAAAATCGCTTCAAATCAGTTTCTTACGAAATAATAATAATTACCATTCCATGTTGGGATCATGTTCTACTCGGCAATTTTACTACTTCTGTCTCTTTTTTTTCACTAAACAATAATTTAATTCAACCTTTTTATACTTACAATTTTGATCCTAGTGTTGTGTGTGTGCGTACGATATTCAATTCCAATAATACTTGAAGCTAACTTAAAAGATGAACGAATATTTTTCTTTTACAGTGGTGACGGTGGCGAGTGAAAGTGAGAGGTCAGACACCGAAGACGTAGTACCATTAATTAATAACAATTCTATTAGTTAATCTATACATAGATAAATAATACTCTAGTATTCTTAAGTATTGTAAGACCAACACGCCATGGGATATAAAACTCAGTTTTATTGTGAAATACATAAAGATGATATTTCAAAGTGATCATGGTCGTGTGGTCGATTGTAAACAAGTAAAAATAGACAAAATTTTAAGTTATTTAGGTGACGGGAGACGAGTACCACAGAGTTGAATGCAAGTGATATTAATGATTGCCTATAAATTTATCAGAACATTTTCATATAAGGTCGATGGAACTTAATTCATTTTCCTGTTCAACGATTTGCGGAATTAATTAACATTAATCGTGTATTGTAACATCATTTCAATGTTCACTTCCTCATAAGCAGGCAACAGTTAAAATAGTATTACGAATAGTATTCGCTATTAAATCGTTAAGTTTGTAAATTATTGTACTAATAGTATAGGAGAATTTATTGTGAATCTACATGTGAAATAAAGTGGTTGTACGATATCAAAGTTGTTTTTATTAACGCTGAGTGGAATTGAACGCGCGGTTGAGATAATGATGGCATGACGCCGCCGCAGTCCCGCGGTCGGTGCTGATAAGACAGTCATTTGTTTACCAACTTGTGTTATTGTGATGTTATGTTCTACTGTCAGTGGATACGTGTGACTTAGTGCTTAGTGAACATGGATAGTAACCGGCGCAGGCGCAGGGATTACGAAGGCATTGATGAAGGTAGGTATTTTAGCTTACTAGGCAAGATTTTATGTACTTCAGTTCCGCTGTTATCTTCCGTTTCCTGCCAATAATATAGGTAAATACCCGTCTATGTTGGATATTAACAGAAAAATAAATTAAGTATAAATGTAAATTTTTCAAACTGATATTGCAATGCTGTATGGCGAGGCCCTTCTTTATAAACACGAAATTTTGTAAGAAGTATGTATGGATGAATGTTTGTTACTCTCAGGCTAAAACTACTGGACGGATCTAAATGAAATTTGGCACAGAGTTAGATTATAGTCTGCACTACCATATTGGATACCTATTACCCTTCGGTGCGGGCTGAAATTTCGCCATAAATATGAATATGCAAGGTTTAAATTATGCGTGTGTCACTGGACTGAGTCATTCTTCTAGTCTAGTAGATATAAATAGGGAGGTGGATACAAACATTATCGCAGGATGTATGATGATACTATGAGGTCTGGAATATAAAAGAAGCAGTATTTTTATAATGTTCCTTTCATCAAAATTTTGTCTGTATGATGGAATAAGCTAAAAATAATTTCGAATTTCTTATCCGATAAGTCTGTAGCTTGGTAGGTATTTGAGCGATTTGAAACAGTTTTGTGCCAGTAGTACAATCGTACCTATATAGGTATTTTAGTAATTGATTGAGTTCTATCGTGATTGTTCTTAGTAGGTAGGTACCTACCTACTTTTAAATAGACAATTGTACAGACTTCATTGTATTACATATATGGTCCTACGTTACTAGCCTAAGATTACATACCTACTTATATAAATACATCGGAATATCTGCATAAGAATTGAAGTAGGTAAGAAGTTATGACTGTTATTTTAAACTGTGTGTGGACAAAAGGATGCGCTTCCGTTCCCCGTTGTCAATGGTCCTAATAGGTCGGTTAATATATTATTATGTAGATTGAAAGGTCGAGAATGGGTTCTCTGAGAACCGATTTCCTTAAGTAGGTAGTCGATATTTTATTCCTCTCAACAATAGATATTTGGATGGGAATATACTTAAGACTATAACAATGATGGTAACTTCTTTTTTCAATATTCCGAGCCCGAATAACTCTTTAATCTTTATATAAAGAATTAAAGGACGAGAGGCAAAGGCAATATCTACTCATATGATATTGGTTAGGTCCTCAGTGTCACTGCCCGACAGACCTTGGCCCTTATGCTTGATTCACGATAAAAACTATACTGTTCAAGTTCTTAATTACGTACCATATAGGACAACTCAAACATCAAAAAAGGCGCGATTTTAAACCTTATGGTTTGAGTTTAATAATTTCGTTTATCGATCAACACCGATTAGGGCATCGTTTGATAAGATGGGAAGTACCTACCTACTTACCTAAAGAAATCTCAAGTCATTATCTGTTATCATTATTGATTCACTATATCGTAGGTACCTAATCCGCATTGTCATTACACATAGGTGGGTACTGATCGGTGCATACTTGACCGCTACTCATTGCCTAAAATGCGTGTCTATTATGGATCCCGGCATGCTATTATTATGGATGCAGGTAGGAACTTATTTGCAATTCAAAATAGTCTTGTAAATTACACCGTGGTTGACGTATGCAGACGTCATTAGGTCATTAGGCATCGACTGAACTATTTTTGACCTTCATTAATCGGATAGAGCCGTAGATATATTTATATCATTATTATCGTCATCATCACCAGCCTGAATGCTTCCGCTACTGACGTAGGTAAATGTGTAAGTAAATAAGAAACCGAAATTATTCTTTCCTTTTAAGCGTGGCCCTATCGCTGCCAAATATTTGAATCGGCCATCCAACCAACGCCTAAATGATAAGGTACTGTAGCAGTTTGATTGAATGGCTAAATTTCTCATTCAGCCTGTAAGTTGAAGGATTGTCACGAAAACTGAGTTGTTACTAGAATGATATGTTTAGTTAAAACTTTGAACTGCACAGAAATCGTACTGCGATCAAAGGGCTAGGCTAGGATACTGTTTGATTGAACTGCTATTTTAACCAGTTGGCTGTGACATACTCATCACGCCCAGCCCCTAGCCAATGGCACAAAAGTGGTTCGGTGCGGGAATCCGCGACACGTTGTGTGGCAGCCGGTTACCCAGCTACCGCGCCAACCGTGTAGTCAAGTGATGATAATAAATGGTACTAATGAAAATGTTGATGAAGAAGACCATGGATGGCAAGAAGGCGTTTGACAAGTCTATGTTAGCATTCTTTGGTATAAACCTATTTATGATCTGTTGACGCGATGGCTGGGCAATAGGCAGTTGTGTAATGTATTGAGGGTTTGATTCCCGTACGGAACAATTGTCTGTGTGATCCACGAATTGTTGTTACCTAGGTGTCATGTTTATATGAAATCGTAATATTATACAGCATAGAAACCACTAGGGCTGAGATTCAGCCGGGGTTGTATGGAATGGGATGCAATAGGTGTATGTATGGATCTACCTAATAATTTGCTTGAAATTCTTCTTCATGTGCTAAATGTATACTAAGTATATGTAATATAAGTATGAACCCACTGTACTTAGGACAATTTTTGTAGTATAAAAATTACCGAATAAGTACCTAACGAAAAGTTGATTTAATATGATATGAAGGAAGATGCTTGTGATTGACGGTTATTTTGTAGTTATGATTGAATATTTTTTTATTATACTTCCAACATTTATTTATTTAGAAAATTTACATATACAACATTACAGCTTACGCCATTAAGTTAATAAACATTAACATTTCAGCTCCTTGGCGTTCGTATTGGCGAGATGGGCAGAGGGCTGTACTGGACACAGGGTCCGCCATCGTGCGATCCTTGTATCGTGGGGGGAGACGAGTGTATCGATACGCACAACACAACGCTCAGCCGTGGCGGTCATTATGTGAGTACTTATCTAATAAGTTTTAGTTTATGTTTATACCTAGATACGACCAAAGCCCAATAAGTTACCGCGAGACGGCTTGAAGCAGGAGATGTAAAAGTGTGTGTCTCTAGGATCTGACACTGCCTTTCGACTATGAAAAGTCGACTATGAAGCCAATAGTAGCTATATTTGTTCTCCCGCCCACCCGACCGGGCGGGAGGGAGTGTCAGACTCTTACTGACTAAAACCCCCCGTTCCTTCTCCTGCTCTGGGCCGAGGTCGCGGTGCCTCATTGCGCTTACCCCGCAACCCCGGATAAAGTCGTGTCCTAACAATTAAGATAAAAACTGTAAGTAAGGCTTCAGCGGGTTTTATGCTTCCTGCTCTCGTCCCACCCAGGTTGGAAGGCAGTCGATGATTCTCTCATCTCAAGCATAGATCGCGTTTTATGAACTATAGGGACCTACGACCTACAAAAATATTGAAGTATTTCAGCGCAGACACGGACACCGCACACAGCAATAAAGTTACCTTTTTCACTTTTCTATTTTCGTTTTTCGTGGAAATATTTGGAATATACTGTGGCAGGCTTGCTGTGAAACTCGTATCAAAGTAACAGGGTCACCGTGGCACTATTAATCATGCCGACCACTCCTTACACCACTGCCGTTCATCAACTTTCATCAACTGTTACGTGCGTCCGTGATTCTATAATATTACCTAGAGTACCCTTCCTTAGTGGCGGGATTTAAGAATAA